AGCAATGAAAATAATTTTATGGTTGGGGGTCACCACAACATGAGGAACTGTATTAAGGGGTCGCGGCATTAGGAAGGTTGAGAACCGCTGCTCTAGGGCTTTGCTTCCCTGGAAGCCCAGGGAAGTACAGGATAGGGGTTTGGAAAACAAATCCTAGAATAAATTTAAATCTCAATGCCATCACTGCTAACTACCTGACTTTGAATGAGCTACCTAATCTTGTGGTCCCTTCCTTTCCTTTTCTGTCAAATGCAGACAACAAGTAATAAGAAGGAAGACAGCCCTTGCCCTTAAGAAGGGGGAAGTGTGGGTAAGAATAGAGTAAGGTAGGTGACATCAGACAACATAGAAAAGAATAAGGTGATAGCTTGTAACATGGGGTCATAAAAGTAGCTATCCCTTATCAAGAACCTTCTAAATGTTAAGAACTTTAAATATGTTATTTTTATTATAATCACCCTGTAAGTAGGTATTACCCCCATTTTAGACAGTTAAAAATATAGGCTTAGCAAAATTAAGCAACTTGTCTAAGGTCATACAAGCGGATGCCTCTGCCAAATAAAGAGGAAAGTAATGCACTTTGGTTTGCTGTTATCAGTGACAGTTTTCACAGGTAATTGTTAATCAGGCACCTGTAGGTAGAATGTCTTAAGATTTGGATCTGCAGACTGAGGAACAAGACATTTAGGTAGAGAGGACAGAGGGAGCAAAAACACATATTCAGTGCATATGTGTAGGACTTATACCAGAAGATGAATTTGAAAAGTGTAGTTTGGTCAGACTGGGCAGGGTCGGAAAGGTTAGGCTAAAATAGTTTTATTTATTCCTCTGGGAAAGGAGAAGAAAGCCATTTTTCAGTGGGTTTTTGACCACCGGGATGAATGTGCCCCAAAAACTGTAACTCCATGACAGCCAGAGCCTGACTATACTTTCAGGGCCTCTGAGAAACAGGATCTGCAAGGTAACTGTGATGCCTTCTTTGGGAAGGTTTTCTGAATATCTTGAATAATTTCCTGAATACTTGTGCATATTCCCCTTGATGATGTAACCAGGCTATCACTGGTAAAGCAAAATATACTCGAAGCAAACTGCTGACATCCAAGGCCTCACCTTCCCACAGATTGCACACCGGCCCTGCTGAGGCCCAGCACCAACATGAGAGCCTCTTCCCTGAATCCACACCCTTTGGACTGTGATTTTACAACTTCTCTTGTCAAGAGGTAGAATCTGTCTCTTCCACTTCCTTGAATATGGGTTCATCCTGTGACTTGAGCTAACCACAGAGTGTGGCAGGAGTTGCATTGTACACGTTGCAGACCTAGGCTTTAGGACACCTTGCATGCTTCCACGCTCTCGCTTAGAATCCGGTCACGCCTGGGCTAGCCTGCTGGAGGATGAGCCACCCGGAGCAGGCTGAATTGCCACAAGTATTCTGGCCCAGGCCTCAGACATGTGGGAAAGTCCACCCAAAATCGGTGAGGTCATTTCACCCACCTGCAACTGACTGCTGACTCACAGAGGTGCCTCACCAAGCCCTGTTCAGATCAGCAGAATCACCCAGCCAACCCACAGACTCATGAGCAAAACTCCATATTTATTGTGCACCATTGAGGTTCTTTGTATGTTACACAGCATTGTTGGGACATAATGTATTAATAAATGCTTGCTGGTGGCTGGCACTTCATCCACAGAGAATCTGGATTGGGAAATTTCTTCCTTCTATCGTAGTCTATGGACTACTGGGAATCATCTCAGGGGTTTTCATTTATATCTCTCAACTAGAGTCAGAGTAGTTGGTAACAGTAATCAGCCATATGCTCATCACTGCCCTTAGAATGTCCCTCTTTGTGGGGTGAAATATATCACATTCCCGTTAAGCTTGTTCTTAGGTCTTCATGCTCAGTATTTTGGACCCTAAACATGAGTGTACTCATAACAGGGCTGGT